CATTTAAGAACTAGAGGATAGTTATATGTTTTATCATTGCTACCCTGCACCCTGACTGGCTCATCTCCTCCCCACAACCCTTTAGTAAGGGGGTGTCCAGTTGCCTACCGATGGGCTTTGAGTCTCCACTCTGTACTCACCCACCTTTACAATGATATGATTTTTTGTTCTTTGGTGCTTGATACCTGATCCCTTCGACAGTTCATGGTGGGCTAATTTATGTTCAATAAATATCACTTCAATAAATTTTATTAAAAGTCATAGCCCATTTTGATGAATGTACTTTGAGGTATTCATTCCCCTATATGGCTTCTGAGAGAGTAATTGAAACTCCCCCTCCTCCTCTCTGATTGGGGAAAACAAAAAATCACAATATGTACAAAGTGTGTTTGTAATGTTTTTACTCCACGGTGAAGTAAGTGACAAAATAAAACAAAATACCATAATGGGATATGGTATCTCTATAACAGAATGCTTGTGGATGCTTATTGTCACATGGGAAGTTGTTCTGTTAGTATTTAATGTGAAAAAGAAAAATAAATCAGCTACATGCTATACAGGAAGACTCCCTTGTATGAGTGATATCTGCATAGAAAATGTTGACATGAAATGCAGCAAAACATTTTCACTGGCAGCCCTGTAATCACGGGGGTGATTAATTTGAAGTTTATGCATTTCTTTGTTTAGAAAATTAAACACCAGCAAAAGTTTTACTTAAAAATAAAATCCTATGGGTGACCAACTTGTTTTCATTTGTGAGTGATTTTCATGCGGTTATCTTTTTGTAGTCTCACAAACCATCTTTTGAAGTGAGTATGGTGGGGGGTACGGGAGCTAGTGACAAGGTGGGGTAGGCATTCGGCTGAAAACTGTAAGGTCAGCAGATCAAACCCACCAACATCTCCAGGGCAGAACGCTGAGGCTGTTTGCTCCCATAAAGGCTTAACCGTTCCCAGTCCTCCAAACCCAAGCCCACTGCTATCAAGTCAATGTGAACTCGTAGAACCATAGGGTTCTGTGTTGGAATTACTCAATGGACATAAGTTTGCCAGGCCATGGTGTAGTTAAAGTGCTTGCCTGCTCTCTGAAAGGCCCCAGGTTTGAACCCACTGACCATTCTTGTGAGAAGGATGTGGCCATCTGTTTTTGTAGCGATTACAGTCTTTGGAACCACATGGGGGCAGTTCTACTCTGTTCTACAATGTAGCTGAGTTATAATCAACTTTTTGGTAATAGAAAGAGTATTAAAACAAAACAAACAAATTCATGCCCATCAAGTCGATTCCTACTGACACCCACCTCACAGAGCTGCCCTGTGGGTTTTCAGGACGGTTCCTTTTTATGGGAGTAGAAAGCTTCCTCTGTCTCCTTCAGTGACTAGTGCTTTCGAACTGCCCCCTGTGGCTGGCAGCCCAATGTGTGACAACGGTGCCACCAGAGCTCTCTGGGAAAGAGTTAGTATTCTTGTTGAGGATTACATATCAGCGGGAGTTGATTCTTGTTTGCAGATGAAGTTACAAAGGGGCTCAGAGAGGCTTTATGCTTTATTACCACTCAACGATGGGCTCAGCCACAGGAACAGTAGTGAGGATGCTGCGAGACCAAGCAGTGTTTCATTCTGCTGTGCAGGGTCGCTATGGGTCGGAGTCAACTTGATGGCACTTAACAACAACAAATACCACCACCAACAACAGCAGCAGGAGCTGGCAAAGTTGGGTCTGGAATCTAGGAGTATGCAAAATATTATGGTCAGAAAGATCTGAGTTCAAGTTCTGGCTCTGGAGCATGGGATGAGCATGAGATGAGGGATACGTGGAAGTCCTTCGCTTGACGATACCTAGTTTACAGAGATGCCTCAACTAATGTGGGTCCCACTTGCTGCTCGGTACTCATTCCTCAAGTGCTTCCTTATCCTGCCAGTCATACGACTCAGACCTACGTAACACAAGTCCACCTGGCCAACCCTGACTTAGTGAGACCCCTTCCCTAGTGACCTTCCCTAGTGACCTTCTCTGATGAGACCCCTTGAGGAGGATCTTGGTTGCGGGGAGGTGCCTTGCTTGGGTTTGTGCCCCAGGGCCAAGCTGGACTCACGTCTTCCCAATGAAGCAGTGTGCTCCTAGGTTTCCTCTCAATGGGAAAAGAGGTCTTGGAGCCGTCGTCTACTGAAAGGTCCATCACATCCTGGAAAGAGCGTGTATCTGTGAAAAGAGTAAGATACTAATGTCATCCTTTCTACAGCCGCAACGCATTACAAAACATTTGTACACTTATGAATTCATTAAGAAAATATTCAAGCTGAACCAAATCCTTCGCTACCTAGACAATTCTGATTCTTGATGACCCCATGTGTAACAGAGTAGAGCTGACAGCAGAGCTGGGCCTTCTCCGTTGTCATCTTTTAGAGCCAACCTCCAGGCCTTTCTTCCTCATCTCCACTAGGTGGCTTGGAGCAGCAACCTTTAGGCTGATGCTGTGTAAGATGCTTGTGCCACCAGGGATCTATGAGACAAATAGGCTGAATCTCCAAGAGGAGAAATGACTTCTGTAGAGTTACACACATAAATGCCCACATAAATGTCTGGGTTTGAACAGCTTTCCCCTCTCCTGGAGGAGACTCTACACACTCTTCAAGAATTTGGGCGTGCCACAGCCTTTCAAAGTCTTCCTGGATCCCACCTGCCTGCACTTACCCTGTTCCCCTTTCCTGTTCAGTCGATGCCCCATGTGCGACAGAACAAGACACTGCCTAGTCCCACACCGCCCTTACACTTGTTGTGTTTGAGCCCACTGTTGCAGCCACAGGGTCAATCCATCTTGTTAAGGGTCTTCCACTGTTTTACCGACCCTACTCCCATCAGTCAAAATTCGAGTGTTGTCTGACCCAAAGGGCTCATCTTCTTTGACCCTGGCACCAACTCTGACAATGTTCTGCTTCTATTCATGAGGTTTTCAGTATCTGACAATGCTTTGATGCTATTTATAAGCGTTTCAGTGGCTAATTCCTCTGATGTGGACAGCCTACTTCTTCTCACAGTCTGTTCTATGCCGGGAAGCTCTGTTCAAAGCTGTCCACTGTGAGTAAGCCTGACGGCGTTTGAAACATTACCGACGCATAAGCCACCACAAGGAAGCCAGCTTACAGTGAAGGGACTGGCAAGTGGGTCAGAGTCGTTTAATCCCAAATCAGCTCTTCTATTCATGATTACATGTGGGCATGACGTTTGAAATCTTAGGCCAACTCTAAATGTTACCTGCATATTCTGATTCCCTTATAGGCCTGGCTGGTAAGATTTTGATTGATTGCTGCCATGTCTCCACCCTCTGAAGCTCAGGTTGTTCATAGTCATTCTCACTGTGAACTGTTGCTCCAACCAGGGCTGCAGGCAAGGTCCTTTCCTAGATAAGAGTAAGCCAAAGCAAGCTACACTGAAAACAGGGATGACAGGTTACAGTGATCCTGAAAGGAACAATGGATTCTCTTGGTTAGGACAGAAAACATGGAGTCTGGAATCAGAGGCAGGTGATGTTCAATTCTTTTGTGAGGCAAAGTTTCTTTCCTTTTAATCATTTTATTGGGGGCTCAAACAGCTCTTATTACAATCCATACAAACATTCATTGTGTCAAGCACATTTGTTGCCATCATCCATTTTCAAAACATTTTCTTTCTACTTGAGCCCTTGGTATCAGCTCATTTCCCCCTCCCTCCCTCATGAATCCTTGATAATTGATAAATTATTATTCTTTTTCATGTCATACACTGACCGATGTCTCCCTTCACCCACTTTTCTGTTGTCCTCCCCCCTGGGAGGGGGTAAATATAGATCATTATGATCAGTTCCCACTGCTCCTCATCACTCCCTTACCCTCCTGGTATCACTACTCTCAATATTGGTCCTGAGGAGCTTATCTGTCCTAGATTCCCTGTATTTCCTGCTCTTATCTGTACCCCTGTACATGCTCTGGTCTAGCTGGATCTGTAAGGTAGAATTGGGGTCATGATAGTGGGGGAGAGACATAAAGAACTAGAAGAAAATTGTATGTTTCAATGGAGCTATACTGCACCCTGACTGGCTCGTCTTTTCCTTGTGAGCCTTCTGGGAGGGATGTCCAGTTGCCTACAGATGGATTTTGGGTCACCATTCTGAACCACCCCCTTATTCACAGTGATATGATTTTTGTTCTTTGATGCCTGTTACCTGATCCCATTGACACCTCATGATCACACAAGCTGATGTGCTTCCTTCATGTGGACTTTGTTGTTTCAAAAACCCCTTACATTTATTTCGGCTGTTTTGACATGATAACTAGGACAACAGAATGGAAACATAATGGTCTTTTCAACAGAGAGTGTTGTGACAATCCGATGTCTAAGTGCAAAGGAAGCATTCTGCTTCGTTGCATATGGCTTCAAAAGTCTGAGGAGGGGCTTGTGGGACTATAATGTGACTGTTGGACTTGGCTGGCATGTTTTTTCAATATATAATAACTTCTTGAGATAAAGCTCTTTCTAACACCTATATGAGTGTCACTGAATTTGTTTCTCCAGTCAACCCGGCCGAACACAAACCCAAATGTCCATCAACTGATGAGTAGATAAGCAACATGTGGGGCAAAGTAATGGGATATTATTCCATAATAAGAGAATAAAGCCCCATATGGATGATCCTTGGAAGCATTATGCTAAGTGAAAGGATAGGAGGTCATAGGATGTCTGATTCCACTTATATTAAATGTCCCAAATAGGAAAATCTATACAGCAAGAAAATGGATGAATGATTTCTAGGTCCTGGGGGAGGGGAAGATGGGGTATGGTTGATAATGGGTATGGATTTTCCTTTTGGGACAATGAAAGTCTTCTAACATTGATTGTGATCAAGGTTATAAAACTCTGTGTATGTATTAAAAATGATTGAACTGCACACTATAAGTGGATGAATTGAAGAGTGTGCATTTTATATATCAAAAGACCTGATTTTGTTTTGTACTTCAAAAAAGATGAGCAGAAGAAGGCAAGGGCAGAAGGCTCTGAGATTGGAGAGATTCCAAGTTTGCAAAGACATTGGTACAACCACTTGGACTGTCAGGGCACTTGATTTCCACCAAAGGGCTTGTCCTGGGAAGCAAAGTTTGGGTCTTACATAGGGACTGAAGAGCAAGGGAAGTTATAGCAGGCAAGCCAGGCCCTGGGGCACATCAGGGATGAACATGTCCCGTGGAACAGAAGCAGGATTGAGAGCCAAGTGGGAAGTTTGGCCATTCAAAGGAAAAAGATTGAGTCTCTGGGGTCCAACACCAGAGTAGCACATCTGCATGTTGAAAACGGTGCCTGGCCTGGACACTCAGGACACCATTACTGCCATAAAGCCCTGCTTGCTTGGCGTGGTCTCAAGAAGTGAGCAGAATTAGCACTGGAGAATGCTTGACCGAGAAGCCACGCGGAACTGGCTGCTTCGTGGCAGCAAGGCTTTGGATCACCTTGTCCTAGATCTCAGTAAGTTATGGGTCCACTTCGTGACCTTGGGGAGCCTATTCAGACAGTCAATCATTAAACTGTAGCTGATGAAACCTACCTCATTGGGGTGTTGAGTAAAGGTACATAACCATTCTACCTTGGCACCTGCCCCACCGCTTTTCTTGTTGGCAGGTGCCATCAACTCAGTTCCAATGTATACCCATCCTATGCACAACAGAACAAAACACTGCCAGGTCCTGAGCCATCCACACAGTTGTTATCGATGAGCCCATCATGGCAGCCACTGGGTCAATCCATCTTGTGGAGGCCCTTCCTCTCTTTGGCTGCCACTCTACTTTACCAAACCTGACGTCTTTGTCTAGGGACTGGTCTCTACTGACATCATGTCTAAAGTATGCCAGACTAAGTCTCAGCATCTTTACATCTAAGGTGCATGCTGGCCTTACTTCTTCCAAGACAGATTTATTTGTCCTTCTGAAAGCCTGTGGTAATTCCAGTGTTCTTTGCCAACATCATCATTCAGATGCTGCACCTCGTCTCTGGTCTTCCTGATTCACTGTCCAGTTTTCCCATGTGTGATTGAAAATATTACGGATTGAGTTTAGGTGCACCGTAGTCCTCAAGGCAACAGCTTCACCTTAAATCCTCTTACACTCACTGCCATCAAGTTGATTCTGACTCATAATGACCCCATAGGTCAGGACTGAACTGCCCCGGTGTGTTTCCAAGACTATAACTCTCTGCAAGGATAGAATGCTCTGTCTTTTCCATGTAGCAACTGGTGGTTTTGAACTGCTGACTTTGCGGTTTGTGGCCTAATTTGTAACCACTGGGCTCTTCCACTGCCATTGAATTGGCATTGATTTGTAGAGACCCGATAGGACAAAGTAAGATTTCTGAGGCTGTACATCTGCATGGGAGCAGAAAGCCTGATTTTTCTCCAGAGGAGTGGCCGGTGGGTTTGAATCGCCGACTTTTCAATTTGAAGCTCACGGCAAGGCACTGCACCAGAGATCGGCCAAGGTTACAACCCTCTGTGCAGGTGGAGCTGAGAGCCTGAGCCAAGGTAAGCTGTGGGGAGGTCAACTCCAGGAGGCCTTCATTGTGAACTCGGCAGAAGCAGGGGATGTGGTTGGCCTGTGCTCCACAGTGCCCCACACAGAAGTCAGATCTGAAATGCAACATGGACATGACAATTCTGGGGATCCAAAAATATGTACTGTGTTGTGTAGACACAGTTTATATGTGAGTGTGTACCATTATAACCAGCCCCAAGGCCCCCAGAGTGGAGCATTTTTGACTCTGGAAGAGTCATGGGGCTGCTGAAGGAAGTGGGGACAAGCTGGTGAACTTAGCTTTCATCCAATCCCTATTCTAGACTTTGTGGAGCCAGAAAGGCCATAAACACTGAGGGTCATTACTCCCACCAGCTTCTGAAAATTTTGCTTCCAGGACTATATATACATTGGTTGGTCTTTCTTTACAGAAAAGGAGACAGAGTTTCATCTTTAATAATTACATTTATTTATCAGTTTCCCCAGAAGGTCCCACGGAAGAAAGATCTGGCAATATACTTTAGAAACCCCCCCCCCCAAAAAAAAAGAAACCCATTAAAAATCATATGCACATGCAAGTTGGACAGTGAATAAAGAAGACCTAAGAAGAGTTATCTATTTGAATTCTAGTTATGGAAAGGGATATTTAAAGTACCACAGACTGCCAAGGAACCCTGCTAGGGTAGTGGTTATTCACTGAGCTGCTAACTGCAAGGTCAGTGGTTGGGAACCACCATCTGCTCCATGGGATAAAGCTGAGGCTTTCTACTCTAGTAAAGAGTTACACTCTTCAAAAATGCACAGGGCTAGCTTTGTCATTTCCTACAGGGTGGCTGTGAGTTGCAATGGACTTGATGGCAGTGAGGTCTTTGGATATTTGCTTTTGTGTGTGTGTGTGTGTGTGTGTGTGTGTGGACTGCCATAAGAACCAACAGGTCTGTCTTGGAAGAAATACAGCCAGAATGCTCCTTAGAGGCAACAACGGTGATGCATCGTCTCATGTACTTAGGACATGTTGTCATGAGAGATCAGCCCCTGGTTTCTGCCAAGATGTCTTGCTTGGCAAAGTAGAGGGACAGTCCCAAAGAGGAAGACCCTTAATGAGATGAATTTGCACAGTGGCTGGACAAAGGGCTCAAACAACAATTGTTGGGTGGATTGTGCAGTATTTCGTTCTGTTGTGCATGGGGTTGCTATGGATGAGAACCAACCCAACGGCATGTCTTACTTTGAACCAACTCAGCAGCGACCAACAACAACAACAACTGAAGGCAGTGTTCGTCTGACACACATGGGTCACCAATAAAGTTGACTCTATGGCAATTGGAAAGCTGATTTGGCAATATCAGGTGTTCTTGCCAAGAAACCTTAAACTAACAGGCATCAAGTTAATTCCACCACATAGTGATCCTATAGGACAGGGTAGAACTGGCCCTGTGGGCTTCTAAGACTACCTTTTACGGGAGCAGAAACCTCATCTGTTTTCTCCCCATGAGAAACTGATGGATTTGAACGGCTAACTTTGCAGTTACCAGCCCAACTTCTAACCACTCCACCACCAGGGCTCCTCAGAGGTTCTTAACTAAATATCAGTTCTTCTTTCTTCCTTATCCAATTCTCTGGCCATTGCTTCCTGTTTATAACATTTTATATGAATGCACGAGTTCCTGAGTGAACCTCCAGACAAGGCTCCACAGTTTTAGTTATTATTAAAGAAGAGCTTCAACACTAACCCTAAGAAATGAAGCCCACTGCCATTGGGTCACTTCTATGCATAGAGACGCTACAGGACAGGGTAAAACTGAAAATATGCTTCCAAGGCTCCGTGCTGGTGTTGGCTTGATGGAAAGAGGTGCTGATGGCAGGAATCCTAATACAAAAGAGAGATGGAGACATGCTCCCACCCACGTCCCTGCCCAGCACAAAGAAAGGTGAAAGGCAGATAAGACATCCTTTATCAATAGAAGAGACAGTGGAAAGGTATGAATGTGGACAGATAAGATATTCACACTACCTCGACCAAGGCTTGAAGGGGACAAGGTCACAAGCATGAACTCTGGGGGAGCGTGATACACAAACCTGGAAAGGGGAGGGACACTACAGAAAATCAGCCAATAGCAGAAGACCTGCGGAAAGGCAGCCAATGGTGGAAGGCCCAGCGTTCTCAGCATGAAAGACCTTGCTCTAAGTTCTACCAGCCCCAGCTGTGGACTACTTGGACTTCTACACCAAAGTACCCGCTTCAATAAACTCACTCTTTCCATTTAAACCTTTTCTCTGGGATGAATGGTGTCCCTCACCTGAAATATTTTGGGACAAGAACCCAGAGCTGAGAGACTTAAAACTTCGTCTCCTCCCAGTACCACTGGTATTTTCACTTTATTCAATCTTTGCCATGACCATCTGAATGAAATTTGATCTCATTTTTACAGAAGAGGACAGAAACGCAATTTTATATCCAAAAAGTGAAATGCGTTCCTGCCCCCTCCCCCACCTTCTGCAAGAATGTATTTGAAGTAAATTTTTGAAATAAATTTGAAATAAAATGTTAAAATGTTAAAATAAGAGCAATAAATCTCAAAGACTAGCAAATGAGGTGAGGGAAAAAACGGACTTACGTAGCACTGAAGAGGGTCCTTCGCAGCGTGGTGCGAGCCTGCCAAAACACAAAGAATCCAGCCCTGAACCAAACGGCATTGTCAGCACGGGGTGGTAGATTACAACCACGAAAAGACGGGGCTTTTGTTCGCCGCCAGAGCTATTGTGCTCACTTTCATCCACCTTGTTGGTTTTGTTTTGAATGTGATTTTCGAAGACCAGAGTGCATATTTTCGTATTTCTCGTTCTACGTGCTGCTCTGGCAAAGAGAAGCGAGGAAACCTGGGGAAAGAACATGAGCTGCCCCCCAAGCCCCCGCGGTGCCCGTGGAGGCAGGGAAGGGAAACATGATATTAGACGATCCTGCTGTCAGTTGCTGTCAACCTAGTTCCAACTCGTAGCCACCCGATGTTCAACAGAATGAAACACTGCCTGGCCCAACTCCATCTTCATAATTGTTCTTTGGTCTGAGCCCATTGTTGCACCATGGTGTCGATCCATCTCTTCGAGAGTCTTCCTCGTTTTAACTGCCCTATTTTATTGTTAGAGAACACCACCATCAATTGCACCAGAATCTTGATTCACCTTAACCTAAAAACAGGTACATTCTCCCTTCCCCATTATGTTACTTTTCTGTGTGATATTTGCAATAACCGATTGATACCTCTCTATCCTGGACATGAGAAAACAAAAACAAAATGGGTTGCTGATTAATGACAGCCTGTGTACAGTTTTCAATGAATGTCATCTTTCGGAAGTTGTGGAAGTCAGGTATAATGTCAATTAGACCCCCTTGGCTAGGGGTGGAATTCAACCTGTCAATCAAGGGGTCTCTTGATCACGCCCCCTTGGGGGTGTGGCCTGCTTACAAGAGTGACAGAAGCAGGAAACCTCCCACTCTCTCTTTGCCACTTCGCCTACCTTCTCTGTGGGATTTCCCTGGGATTCTCTGTGTCTTCTTTTGGCGGGGGTGGGGTGGGGGGTGGGGGGTGGGTTGCCCTGTGGGCTGCCGGCTCTAGACAGTTGTCAGTACCCTACCATGTTTCCATCGACTTTGGATCCACAGGACCCTGCCCTCCTTAACCTGTGATCTCCTGCTTCCTGTTCAACTTTTGGAACTATTGGCCTGTAGCCTCATGAGTCTCAAGAGGACCCTGGCTAGCCTTTGACCCATGGACTGGGATGGGGCATCTTCTTGATGTAAAGTTCTTTCTTATACCAAGTGAGTGTCACTGGTTTGCTTCTCTAGATGACCAGCCTAGCATAGAAGTGGATCACCAGCCCTTTCTTCCAAGGTATCTATATGGATTAGGTGTTAGGCTGCGAATGGTAAAGTCAGCCGTTCAAACCTACCAGGTGTTCTTTGGGAGAAAGGAGAGGCCATCTGTTCTCAAGAAGATTTACAATCTTGGAAACCTTATATAGGGTTGTTATGAGTTGGAATCGGTTCACTAGCAATGCTATTTTTTTTTTTAAATAGTGTTGCTAAGAGTCAGAATGTATAGGATTTCTATGGGTTGTAATTGACTATATGGCATTAGTTTGAGTTCTCTAGTTAATAATTTCACCATCTAGAAAATGTCTTATAAAGACCCTCAATGAGATGGATTCGCCCAGTGGTTCCAACAATGGGCTCTTGCATAGAAATATTGTGGGGGTGGCACAGGACTGGACAGGATTTCCTTCTGTTGTACATAGAGTTGCTATGGGTTGGAAATAACTTGATGGTACCTGACAATAACAACAAGAACAACGACAACAGAACATGTCTATTAACACTTATGTCCCCAGAGCCTTTGCTTTCCAGTGTCTTCTTAATAACTCTGTGCCCATAGCTGGTTAGAGTATCATACATTAAGGACCTCATGCACCGTAGGTGCATCGCAGGTGAACAGAAGAATGAGGGACAGGTAAGGGAGCCTCACATGCTCATTTCTTGTGTGAGCGTTAGAAATCCAAATGAAATAGCAGAGGGTAACTGTCATCAAGAGAACTGACACACATCGATGAAAAACCAAATCAAACGGGCTGACTGATAGCCACCCCCCTTGGGTTTCCAAAACTGTAACTGTCTAAGGGAGTTGAAAGCCCTGTTTTTATCTCAAGGAGTTGCTGGGGATTTCAAACTTCCGAGCTTTCAGATTTCAGCCCAACATGTAACCATTACGCTACAAGGGCTCCTTCTCATTGATAAGGAGGGTCAAAATATCCCCCCTCCCTCCCTATGCTTTCCTGGTTATAGCAATGTTTCTCCAAAGATTTCCCAGGAACTACCTGGATTGGCATGATCTTATTTAGCCTAAGGATTTCTTGGCTCCACCACAGGCCACTGACAAAGACATTCTGGGGTGAATCTGAGAAGGTACATTTTCATGGAACATATTTGTGGTTTAGCTGCCCTCTTTTGTGAAAAATTGAACAGAACAAAACAAAAATCCCTCTCTTGCCTTTGTTGAGAATAGGCACCAGGGAAGACATGATGCCAATCTAACCATTTCTACACGTACAATTCAGAGACACTGATTACAGAATTCACGTTGTCCAACCATTCTGATCCTCCTTTCCTGCATTGTTCCGGCCCCAGTGACGTAAAACCAGAGCCCTTCTGAGGTTCTTAGCTAATTTTTCAAAGGCGGTTGTCAGTCTGATCCTCTATAGATCATTCTCATGGCCGACATTTTTCACTCATTTTTGTTAGTGAAAACATAGAGTTGGCTCTGCCTCGTGACAACCCAGTGTACAAGAGAGCAAAGCACTGCGCCATCCTCACGATTGTTCCTCTGCTTGATCCCATCATGTCGTCCTCTGTTTAACCACCCCTCTACTTGATCGACACATGTCCTTTTCCAGTGACTATTCTCGCTAGACAACATGTCGGAAGTACGTGGGATGAAGTCTGTCTGTCCTGGCCTCTAAGGAGCACTCTGGCCATGCTTCTTCCAAGACAGATCAGTTTGTCCTTTTAACAATTCATGGTACTGTCAATATTCTTTGCCAGCACCATCCCTCAAAGGCATCAGTTCTTGGGTGGTCTTCCTCATTCAGTGTCCAGCTCTCACATGCAGATGAGGCGGCTGGCAATGTCCTGACTTCGGTCAGGCTCACCTTAGTGATGAGTTTGCCCTATGCCTCTTGATTTCTTGACTACCATTCCCATGAATATGAATTGCAGATTGATAGGCTAAGCTAAACTATCATTTAGTTTTAAGAAGCCTTCAAGGGGTTCTTTTGGGTTAAAGTTGGAAGATTATCTCAGGGAAATTGTTCCATGTTTTATTTTTTTGTTTAAACAGTTCTGCTTCTAATAGTTGATGGCAACTAGCAGCAATTCTAACACACCTTGAAGTGTGAAGACACGTGTTAATCATTGACTTTACCAGTCTTGGGAGGATTTGAAATCCAGGTTTGTGTTTATGAGAATCAGGTGAATACCCTGTCCCAGCAATTCACGATCCACTGCTGCCAACCTTTCAGTTAGCTCTGCCCATTCCCACTGATTCCCCAACATCCTAGGAAGAACCAGGTGTGTGCATTCAGTGATGCGGCTACCTAATGCAGGTATTGCAACATCTAAAACGAGCCAGTAGGGGGCACTGGATGCTCATCTATTCTGGCCTTTCTTTCCTCTCTAGAATTTGTCTCCCCCACCCCCCTCCTCAGAAAGTGGAGAATATCAACCTTCAAGATTATCTTCCTTTGGAAACTTGAAAAAAAAATCATGTTTTCCTGAGTAAAATGAAATTTCTTGTCTATTAAATTGAGTAAGTCAATGTATATCTTTATCAGCCTTTTTTTTAAATTGTATAGGCAGTCTCCAGGTTTTGAACAACTTATGGATAACTTGTTCTTACCCCTTATACAATGTAATTTTGACCTTGAATGATGGATACGACTGAATCAACCCCAACTGGCAGCAAATACCTCATCACAATCACCTTCACTTGATACACATGTAGCTGGAGAAATCGCTGAAAAGGCTTCGAGCTTTTTCTTGCACCCACACCAAAATGTCCATTGTCATTGGGTCAATTCTGACCCAATTCTGACTCAATTCCCTTGGTAGGGTTTTTGAGACTGTAAATGTTCTCTTTTTGGAAACATTTCAGGGTTCACTGTTGCTGTTTTCGGTGCCATGGAGTCAGTCTCACTACAGGCGACCCGATGCACCCCAGAAGGCCACAAGGCACTATTGGTCTTGTGTTGAGCCCATAGTGGCAGCCACTGCGTCCGTCCAGTTCATGAGAACCTTCCTCCGTTTGCTGTGCTAGGGGAGGGTTTCCAGAGCAGCAGATCATCAGTTCCGACTACAAAGCTTGATGGAAGGAGGCAGCCTCATCTGACGGAGTGGCTGGTTGATTTGCTCTACCAACCTTGCAGTTTTCTGCCCCATGTCTAAACCACAACCTCGCCAGGGCTCCGATTTCTTGTGTTAAACTATCACATTTGACTTGTTTTTTTTTAATTTGGTAAAGAATATAGAAAGTACCATGGACTGCCAAAAGAACAAACACAGCTGTCTTGGAAGAACTATAGCCAGAGCGCTCCTTAGAGGCAAGGCTTTGTCTCACATACTTTGAACACGCTGTCAGGAGAGACCAGCCAGTCCCTTGAGAAGGCTACCATACTTGATGAACTATGGAAGCAGCAAAAGGAGGAAGACCTTGGCTGAGATGGACCGACACAGTGACTGCAGCCATGGGCTCAGACAAGAACCGTTGTGGGGATAGCGCAGGGCTAGGCAGTGTTTTGTTCTGTTGTGCACAGCGTCTCTATGAGTGTGGTCTGACTAAACGGTGCCTGACCACAGCACCAGCAAATAAGAACCAATTGACCTACAAGTTCAACCTTAAAGACACCCTTAGGAGCAGGTCTCTCTTGTGGCCTGGGGACTGCCCATTTAAATGCGTCCAGAAAGAAGGACCCACATCCTCAGAAGGGGTCTCATAGCCCACAAGTTCCTTCTTTATCCAAGGCAAGGAGAAAAAACGCTCACACTTGTTCTGTTGAGAAAACATGACACTGTTTTCTCTGCATCAGCCTCTTGAGAAGGTGTCACCG